CCGACGAAGCGATTATCCCTGTTCCCGCGAGCTGCAAGCCCCGTCATCGCGTCCTGTTGACTTACCCCAGCTCCTTGTCGGCCTGAATAACCCCAGCCTCCATGCCCCGCCGACTCACCCTAGCCTCCGTGCCCCGCTGACCCACCCTAGCCTCCATGCCCCGCCGACCCACCCTGGGCTCCATGTCTCGCTGACCCACCCCAGCCTCCATGTCCCGCTGACCCACCCTAGCCTCCATGCCCCGCCCGACCCACCCTGGCCTCCATGCCTCGCTGATCCACCCCAGCCCCATGTCCCGCTGACCTATAGCAGTCCCCGCGTCTGCTGACTCCTCGCAGTCCCGGTATCCAGTTGACTCATCCCAGCCGCCACGCGCAGCCGCCCCACTCAGGTCTATACTGTGCAGACGCACCTAGTTCCGTGTTTCTGCTGACCCACACCAGCCCGACGCGCTGCCGACCCACGCCGGCCCCGGCGCCCTGCTGACCGGCGCCCGCGGTGACCCCGGGTGTCGGCGTCGCCCCGGCGCCGCCCGGCAGGTAGCGTCGGCCGCGCCGGCACCGACGGCCATCCATCGGCCGGCCGGCCGCCGCTAATGCATGCTATATGAGTCGGTGCGAGATGGATGGCGGCGGTGGCGTGCGCCGCGCCGCCCAGATGCAGCCTCCGGCCGGCGCTATTGATCGCTGGCCGCGGCGGAGCGCGAGCGCGCGCCGCTCCGCCACCCGACCGCCGGCGGCCGCGCCGAGCCCGCCGCCCGCCAGCCAACCCGACCCGACCCGACCCCAGGTGAGAGCGAGCCGGCCGCGACCTGGCCCCGCCAGCGGGGGCGGCGGCGCAGGGGGCAGGCGGGGGCGGCAGCGTGGCGGATGGCGGGGAGAGCGGCGCTGCGCGGTGGGCGCGTGCGATCGCCGCCATGTTCCGGGCTGCGCCACGTCCGCCGCCACGGGAGAGCGGCCCGGAAAGAGACGGGCTGGGATGGTCGCAGGTAGGCACTCGCGGCGCTGCGGGCTGTGAGCGCGTGACGTTTGTGTCGATTTGGCACGGACTGCTGCCGCTGCTGGGGGATGACGCCTCGAACGGGGGCCCGGGCTCGGCCGACCTGGCGCCAGCTGACTGCACTTGGCCCCTCTGTGACCTTCATCTGACTGCTGCCGCCCGACACGAGAGGAGCGCCGCAGAACCCCGGAACAGGAGTGAATGGGCTCTCGGTGCAATCTCGGCTCGATCGCCTCATTCTGCGGTGGTTCTCCATGCGGTGCCATAAAGGGATGTTTTCTAGATAACAGCCACAGGCGTGTCCTTTCACAAAGGGAGGATCGGATTTCGGTGAATGGGATACTTTTACAGGAGAGGCTTCTCCAAGCAGGGCATCAACTTGCTTGGGATTTTCACAACTACTGGATTGATTGGCATCCTTGTATATCTAGTAATAGCTCTGTGCTGAATGAACTTTGTTTTTTAATGAACTGGCATTGTCGCTGGTAGTTTGCTCACAAGGTTATGATCACATTCGGGACATGCGATGCGAGATAGATCGTCCAGAAAATTGTAATTTTGAACAACTGGCTACCATAAGAATGGCATAAAACTTATTTGGAATGATTTGGCGCGCGATGTGATAGAGTTCTGAGATGAATAGCGATGGAAATTGATTTACGGTACCGCACTAAAAACCCGCACGTGCTATTTTCTACGCGGGTTATGTCGAACGAAGTAGCCCTGTCATTCCAAAACGTAACTGCTGATTCCTAAAGAACTCACGTTCCTTGGTGGTTCCACCATTTTCCTACCAGTTTTATTCATTCGGCGACTAAATTCATGCGGCCACCCAGACTCGAACCCGAGACCTTTACATGAGCGAGCACCTCCGGCCTCGCTGCCCGGCTGACATCCCGGGCGCGGCTGGTCGGGAGCGCGGCCGATGCTATCGGCGCCGTTCCAGAGCGCCGACTGCCTCCCGGCGGCGGCGCAGCCCCGGTGTGCGTGCCGCGGTGTGAGCGGGAAGGAGCACTAACGCACGGCGTCGGATGTCGACGGGCGCCAGCGCCTGCCGCGTTATTCCGGGAGCGCACGCTGCGTACGGGTGTGGCGGGGACGAGGAGCGAGGGCAGCTGTGTGCGCCGGAAGTGCGTGTCGAAGCGGAAGACAGCAAAATCTACCTGTGGCCTTTGGCGATGTGTATCCAAGCCAGCATTCCATCGAACGCGTTTCAGGCAACGGCGTCAGCACTGGCGTGATGTAATATGTACACTCGTTATACGGACTGTAGGCGTCAAAGAACGTTATAAACATTTTAAATATCCATTCACCCATTTTTTCATTACTTGCGTGCACCTATGACCACAACCGTAGTGATTCTATCCAGCCTTTCACTCAGTTTTGAAAGATCGATTAAGGCTCCATTGTCGACCGTCATCCCTAGCGCGTAATCTGTCACATGCACTCGAGTGCTGGGGCCAGCCAGCCGCCGCTTCATGACAGCCCATGACGTCACAGCCTGTCACCACGCCGCGCGACACATGACGCGTGAGACGTGACCGCGCACTTCTGCCGCTCCGGAGCGGGCCGGCCGTCAGCGGCGGGATGACGGCGGGGCGGCCCGGACCCCGGCCGGCACGTGTATCGACCGGCGCCGGGCTCGCGATCAGCCGGCGGCTGGGCTCGGGTCTCAGAAGCCCTCGAGGTCCGCCGGACGTCCCGGTCGCCCCCGGTCGCCCCGGCGCGCCGGCCGCGCGGCCCCAGTCGGGCTCAGGTGCCGCCCGCCCCGTCGTCAGAAGGCTGGGGTGACCTGGGCCCGAAGAGAAGGGCTTGACCTGTCAGCGCCCCCGGCGGGGAATGGGCGGCCGCGCCCGGCTCCCACGGACCTTGACCTCAGACGTGGGAGCTGGTCGGAGACAGCGGTGAGATTTTCCGGCCCCGGGAGTCCGCAGGGAACGGCTCCACCCTCTCGCGGTGGTGTCGGCCTCCGGGGGTCGGTGTGGTGCCGTGGGTACCCTCTTTATGCAGGGAGCACTGCTGCAATGCCACAGTACTGCTCACAGGAGGTGGGTGTGGGTGGGTGATTCCCTGATGTGGGCCTTGAACGAAAACCTGACGTGCCGGCACGGACGACAGATGGCAAATGACGTCACCGAGGATTGCTGACGTCAGGCCTAGGATGAAGGCTTGTGGCGACTTGTGAAAGGGTTGTGAAGAGCGCCTGGTGTATGAATAGGGAATGTTGGGCATTGGCCGTGGTCTGAGCGACATCACTCGCTCCCAACCTGTATTACCGATATATCATATATTGCTTTTACTAAATTCCTTTTCATATATCGTGCCCAAAGTCTATGCCAGCTAGTCACACTGATATAATACAAGTCATATTAAAGTGATGGAAATCAGAGCACATTGATGCTCAGTCCTGAGCAAAACAAAAAAGTGCCTGAGATGTCACGAGAGTTTGGTCCAATGGTAAACGTTCACACAAGAGCACTTCGCAACCACACGGATTCCGGGCCCCAGGAAATGCTGTGATATAAAGCGCCCAAATACAGGCCCCAGAGACGGTAAGAGGGTCCTTTGGGACCAGAAGACCCTAAGGGATCTCCCAGGCTACCAGGGAGTGCAAAATGGTGAAGGAGGTTCCGGAAATCTGAAGGGCAGGGGAAAGTCAGGAGCTCCCAGGGGAATCCGAGATGAGATAAATAAATTTCACGAGGACATCGAGCCCCGTGAAACATTCATGACGTCCCGATATAGTGCACCTGTTCTGAGGTTGCTGGACTTCGAGACCCAAACACGCTGATTTAAGCACTTGCGTGTACAGACTGAGATGGTTTGCCAGCAACGTCAAAGTTGCTATACTGGTGGAATGTTCTCAATATTATTTTCTCAATGAAATTTGCTTCGTACTGTTGAGCTCAGTTCGCACGTTAGGTGGAAGTTGTTACGTGCAGCATTTTAATCCACTACTCACATCAGTTAAAAGACATCATTTTTCAAAATCAGCAGGACTACGGGGAGAAGTCATTTTCGTGCAGCGATTCAACAAGGCTGCCGTTCCATGGTAGGCTGACCTTTTCTGGCTCGCTAGCAGCCAACCCTTTGTTATAACAGCTATAATTCCAGACAATGCACACGTGCTGAGAGTTGCCTTAATGCCGTAAAAATAGAGATTTCAGCTGTTTGGTCATATTTGAACACCTTCTTAAGGCCAGCATTAGTTCATTCCATCGTCTACATCGTACAAAGGATGCGGCTTGGTAAATTAATGCTTCCGTAAAGTAAACAAGGAAACAGTGGGTACCATCGAGTGAGAAAGTACCTATTTCTTCATTCGACACCAGATACACTCACAATTCTCACACAAGGGAACTGTGCGGTTCATTTCCGGCAGAACGATCATGCTCAGCGATCAGCACTGTTGCATGCTAAGAGTCACTGTGGACATTTGCTCCACATGTGTTTGATATTCTCAGGGCCCGAAAAAATAGCAGCCAGCTCTAGCAAAGCATGCTGGACTTAGAGGAATTTGCTTGTTAACGCCGTTTTCCGATACGCCTCTCGTCTCTCGTCTTTTGAACGCCATGAAGCTAATTAGAGAAACTACGTCTTTCCTGAATCAATATTTCTTGATTTGTTTTTGTAGTCCGCTCACCGTGCCAATGGCATGTTAGGTAAATCTCCACGGGCTTCTAAACCTGATTTGACCCCAATGAGCACCGGACAGTAGGGCATTTACTAATCGGCCGCTCATTGTGGGCAGCCCTATTAATCCTCCTACAATGACCAATTAGCAGGGTCACAGCGAGCAGACAATCGCGGTTCGAAACAGACCACTGTGTCCATAGCTATGCGCCAATCAGATCCTTGCAGACAAACGGTGTCCACCCAGCGCCGGCGGGCCGGGCGGTCCGTATTCAGCTCCCGTGCTGACCGGTCTTTCTCTCTCCGCCAGTGACCTCGCGGGCACGCCGGCCGCCGCCCGCGCCGCGCCGCAGTCGTCCGCACCGCGCCGCACTCGCCGTCCGCGCCCACGCGCGTGACATGTGCTCAGCGGCGGCGCGCGATGCTGACCCGGCTGCGTGGCATCCTGACCTGTGCTAGCGCGCGCTCGACTGACCCTGAGGTGACCCAGTGCCGGCCCGGCCTCCGCCTGAGGTAGGTGGCGCCCCTGACGCCCGTCACCCGGCCGCCGCGCCGGCCCCGCCGCTTTTCGGTGTGTCTGTGGCGTGCGCGCGCACGCACTTGGTGTCCGCAAGATGGGCAACAGTTTTATCCGGAAGAACTACGAGGAGTCGCCCTGGCTAGTCACTCGCCGCACCGGCAACCTGCTGAGGTAAGTCGAGAGCGATTGCAGGTAGCTGTCGTCCCCAGTCTAGCCGGCGCTAGCACGCGCTCCGTCACGCCTCCCGATGTCGGCACGCATGCCTCCGTCCCGCGTCTCGAGGCACGGGGCTCCGCTTTGCGTTTCTCTCCCTCAAGCCACTGGTTTCTGCCCAGTTTCTCTGAGGAGCCATGGCTCAGCGTCGCATCCCTCGAGACACATGACTCTGACTCCGTCTTAGCGCACATTATTCTGCCTCGCGCCTTGACGCACACACCACTGCCACGCGTTTTTCATGACTCCGCCACTCGTCTCCCAGGGCCCTTGCCTCGTCTCACCTCTCAAGACAGGTGCATCTGCCTTGTGTCTCAAGGCACATGACTTTTCCCAGCATCCCTTCTGACATAGCTCGGCCACGCACCTCTCCGGACCCGTGTTTCACGTCTGTCAATGTGCGCGGTTCCTCACTTCTATTAAGATACATGGCTCTGCCTCACTTCTTATGGCGCATAACTGTCTGATGCCTCTCAATACATATGGTTCCACCACGCGTCTCTGAGGAGCCTTGTCCGTATTCATAAAGACGCATCGTTTTCTTCCATATCTCCTGAGACGCATGTCTCTGCCTCGCGGGTCTAAAGAGACATGGCTCTGCGTCGCGTATCTAAAGAGACATGGTTTTGCCTCGCGTGTCTAAAAATATATAACTCTGCCTCGGGTGTCTAGAGAGACATGACTCTGCCCCGCATCCCAAGGCTTATCTTCTTTTCCTCGCGTCCCTCGAGACATGTGGTTCCGTTATGTGTCCCTTTACCTCGCCCCACTCAAGACTCATGGCTCTACTTCGCGTTTCTTGAGACACATGGCTTTGCTTCGCGTCCCTTTGTGTCGTGTCTCTGAAAGCCCGTGACTTTGATTCGTGTCTCTTAGAACCCGCTGCTCTGCGTCCCCCAATGTACATGACTTAGTCTTGTAGCCCTCAAGACCCGCGTCTCTGTCCCTGAAGACGCACGACACTACATGTCGCGTCTCTCGAGACACGTAACTCTGTCTCAGTGTCTCTAAAGACGTGTGACTTTGTGACACGGTTTCGAATATCTAAGGACACCTGCCTCTTTCTCGCATCTATAAAGGCGCGTTATTCTTCCTGGCGTCCCTGGAGACGCATGTCTCCGCGTTGCGACTCCGCGAGCCCAGACGCACGACTCTGCTTCCCGCGCGCTTAGCTAGAAACTCCCACTCTGCACCGCGCGCTCACTTCCACCGCCCGCTTGCTGTGAGCGCGCCTCACTGTCACGCAGATAGCTGCACGTGCGCACCTGACCTTTGAGGCCTCGTCGTGGTCAACACGGGCGGTGGCCGCCGACGATCGGCCACCGGCGCCGCCCGTCCGTCGGCTCGCTGGATGCCGGGCGGCGGACCCGACCGCGCCGGCCGCAGGCTACAGAATCCCGCGGGCCGTCTCCCCTGGCTGTGCTCAGGGCGTCCGGGCCAGAAGCGTCAGGCAGATTCAGGTGTCTCTCCGCCCGCCTATCGTCGCAAACAGCCGGACAGTTAGCGCAGTGGTTCTGGAGCATAGAGAGGAGGCAGCTGGGAGGTAGAGAGGAGACAGCTGGGGGGGGGGGGGGAGGGGAGGCAGCCGGGAGGTAGAAATGAGGCAGCCGAGAGGTAGAGAGGAGACATCTGGAAGGCAGAGAGGAGGCAGCTGGGAGGTAGAGAGGAGGTAACTGGGAGATAGAGAGGAGGCAGCTAGGAGGTAGAGAGGAGGTAGCTGGGAGGTAGAGAGAAGGCAGCTGGGAGGTAGACAGGAGGCAGCTGGGAGGTAGAAAGGAGGTAGCTAGGAGGTAGAGAGGAGGCAGCTGGGAGGTAGAGAGGAGGCAGCTAGGAGACAGAGAGGAGGCAGAGAGGAGACAGCTGGAAGGTAGAGAGAAGGCAGCTGGGAGGTAGAGAGGAGGTAGCTAGGAGGTAGAGAGGAGGCAGCCTGGGAGATACAGAGGAGGTAGCTGGGAGGTAGAGAGGAGGCAGCTGGAAGGTGTGCAGAAGGATGGACCTCTGGTCCGTCCTGGACGCAAGGGACTCTGGGAATGACTGACGGAACTCTGGATAATTGACGCAAAGAATGAAACTGCATGATTTTAGCATGATCTGCTGACCAAAAACACATACTGCTAAAAATGTCAGGTCCCGGAGACATGCGGTGTTGCGTTTATTGACGGCTGTCACCGCGGATCGCCTCAGACAAGAGTCCCGCCGGCTCCGCGCAGGGCATTGTGGGTCCGCCGCGTAGCCAAAGCGTACTAAAACAAATAACACACCTAATACGTCTAAATAACATTTTCCACAGAAATGACATTTGACGCATCTCGAATGCAAATGACGCTAACATACAACTTTGTGCGGGGTCGAGAGGTCTGCGTGCCCTCTGGTCTGGTCTGCAAGGCCTGGTCAAGGTCTGCGTGCCGTCTCGCGCCGACGCGGGGGTCGCGTCACGGACATCTGCTCGCTGATGGACACGCGTTCAGCGCGCGGGGTAGCGACTCCTGACGAAAGGTCACGCGTTGTGGTGAATCGAACACTCGATCAGGGGTTCTCACACCGCCCGGCGGCTCAGGGGGGACTGAGGGAGCAGCACACTACCGGCGATCGCGCTGAAAACGTGCGCTCTTACGATTTGGGGTAAAGGCTTCCTAGGGGCGAAGACCGTAGAGAACGAGCGAGGCCACGCTGGCGTAACCATTCGCTCCCGGCAGCTTACGCCGTCCAAACAAGTAAAAGCGTCCAAGTGCGTAACGATTAATTGCAACGTGGCCCTACTCGTTTCAGCAACCTTTTTGGATAACTAGGGATTACGTAGGGTGATCTGGCACCAACCAGATTGCACTACGCGTTCTCCCCCACCGACTCTGATAGAGACTAAGAGAGTAAACAAACAGATTTACGCGCAGAGGAAACAAACAGATTTACGCGGCTAAGCTCACCTTTTTTTCGACGCGTCAGCTGCAATAAAACTGAACTGGGTGGAAGGCTCCGTTTTATAGCGGTATTTCATTCCCAACCCTTACAGCTTTGAGCTGCCATCTCATTTTATGTCGCAATCCCCGATGCCTTCGATATGCTTTAGCAAGCAGGCAAGCATGAGGCGATGGTGAGGCCAGTTAACGTCCCAGCTGTCGAACGATTTTGTTTTTGTACATGCCAGTGGATACAAGTCTCAAGCTAAGTGGATACAAGTCTCAAGTTAAATGGATACAAGTCTCAAGGTAGGAGAAGCGTGCTGGCATCGCTTCTCTGGCCTCGTTTGACATAGGGTGAAACAGCCAATCTTTGTTTAATAAGAAGAACCAGTTAGCAATGACGGTGAAGAAGTTATATTAGCTCACCTCGTCATACTCATATACATGGTGTAACCTCGGACATCTGGCCAGCACCACACAACAACGCCGCCAAAGCCACGCAGGAAAGAAGGTGCACGTTTCTGATGAAATCACAAGCAAATGAAGCGTTTTGCATGCTGCCCTGCATCGAAATGGAAGCAGCTGTATAATGTTTCACTGTCCGCATAACGGAAATTATGTGCTCCACACGAGCCACTTGGCATACGCTACTCAACCCTGCATCAGAATTGTAGGAGAGCGGAAAGATCGGTGTCTCTTATATCACTACATCACACACACATACATACACGCCTCGTGAATGTATGTGTGTGTACTGCAGACAACCTGTCTACCCGTTCTTCGTCTTCTGCTTGATTGGTGATCGCTTGGGAAAGGGAATGTGACGGTAGGTTCGCAGCCCGCCAAAGGCCGCGGACGAAGGCTTGGCAGCGGATTTTGGCTTTGAAGTTAATGTTCGGCAACTGAGACCCCAATAGCCTACTGTTTCGAGCAATGCACATCAGCCAGCAAAAGACGCCGTGATGGGATAATGAGCTGGGCCGTCCCGGAGCCGTAGCGTCCCGGTGACTAACTGCAGTCGAACTGCGGCGAGCCGGTGTACAACCCCTCAGGCTCGCTCACGACAGGGATGCGCCTTCGACATTTGGACCAGAGCGTAGAGGTAGTGAGCGCCGCGGTGCTGGGCAAACCCTGAGCCCCGGGCACACCCTGAGCCCTGGGCACACCCTGAGCCCTGGGCATACCCTGAGCCCTGGGCATACCCTGAGCCCAGGGCACACCCTGAGCCCTGGGCATACCCTGAGCCCTGGGCACACCCTGAGCCCTGGGCATACCCTGAGCCCAGGGCATACCCTGAGCCCTGGGCATACCCTGAGCCCTGGGCATACCCTGAGCCCTGGGCATACCCTGAGCCCTGGGCATACCCTGAGCCCTGGGCACACCCTGAGCCCTGGGCATACCCTGAGCCCTGGGCATACCCTGAGCCCTGGGCATACCCTGAGCCCTGGGCATACTGAGCCCTGGCATACCCTGAGCCCTGGCATACCCTGAGCCCTGGGCATACCCTGAGCCCTGGGCATACCCTGAGCCCTGGGCACCCTGAGCCCTGGGCACACCCTGAGCCCTGGCACCCTGAGCCGACGCGCTCAGCGGCTCACCGCCGGCCTGCAGGGGGCCAGCCGCGTCCGACGGCCGCCGCCTCTCGGGACGGCGACCAGTGCGCGTCGGTGGACTCGTAATCGGGTTTGGCGGCGACCACATGCGTCTGGCTGGCGTTCCCGGCCGGCGAGCGGCGCCCCGCGGCCGCCACCGAGCGGTCGTCTGGCTGGCGTTCCCGGCCGGTGAGCGGCGTCCGCGGCCGCCGCTCAGTGATCGAGCTCGTCCGCCACGGCCGGCCTGCCGACAGGTGGCGCTTTACCAACGGCCGTCCCAAAGAGGAGCCTGTGCTCCCGTCATTCCCGACGGCATGTTGCCCTCTCGCTGGGTGAGCCATCACGATGCGCTGGCGTCCTAGTGACACCCAGCTCACGTCAGGTCGTCGCAACATGATAGGCCTGTTGCACACTGCTTCGGTTGCTTCACGCTCGCGCAGCGAGTGCGGGGCGGCGGAGCAGCGCC